TTAGATATCGTTTTTCTATATATATAACAATATCGTTTTTCTCCTAGAACATAAATTGTAGGAGTTTTTACATTTACGATATTAGCACGTTCTGCCTTGAGCAGAACGCAGTTTCAATTATTGCAAATAATTATTTTTCATATATGGTAGATCCAGCGCTGAATATTAATGAATAAATGATTTCGTTTAAAGAAAGTTTTTATTGACCTCCACGCCCTCCCAGTAAATTTTTTTCACCCCTGAAAAATTGTTAAAATTTGAATTTAAGATGCCTCATATTTCCGAACTTTTCTAAATATCTAAAGAAGCGAAAAGCTAACGGTAAATATCATATCATCAAAAAATGTAACTATTTATCAATCACTTATGGGCACAACCACAGTCACTTATATGGGCAATTCAACTATTACGATAACGCTTTTTTCACTTTTTTTTGGTCATCCTGAACTTATGCAATAATTTTATAGAAAAATTTGATATTTAAATGAAAATATTTTAAATTACGTACTAGATTGTGATTAAAAGAAGATTTTTCATTTGTTCAAGGGAAATGTGCTACTTTACAAAATTCGTTTTAGGTTCGATTCAACTTAATTTCTCTCTTCAACATTATACAGCCGCATTTCACATCCTGGTTATTATTTACAATTTTTATATCAATTATTGCTATCCTTTTCAAAATTATTTTAATGTACTTAACTTTAATGTACACGGTATGTATGTGTATGTCATATTATATTATATTTATATAAAGTAGAGAAAAAACCGTAAAGGATTTTCATTTTGAAATGAACAGTGAATTTGGCGACAACAAGTACGTGCTTGATTCATTTTGTTTTGCAAATCTATCATAATATAATAGAAGCAAAAAGAAAAACCAGAAGGATAGGAAAAATTGAGGAAATTTTTTATATTCATAGCTGTACAAAACATTTAAGTTTTTGAATGAATTTTTCACTTTTTGTTTTTTTTTATTATTTTATTATACTATAAATGTACCTACATACATGTTCTATTAAAAATATGTGAACATTATAGTTGTTGTGAAAATATTTTCACTATTAGTTAAAAAAATGCAAAACAAAAACACCATAACTATTTATTTAATCGAACGTGAAATAATTGTGTGTGTATATGTAAAGAGCGACTAACAATGCCAATCTAGAGTATTCACTCGCATATTGTCGTAAATACTTAGCGTACACAAACTAAATTATTAACAATTGATCCTAGAGTCTATATAAGTTTGATTTGTTTAAAGCTGCTCTGATAGTATAATTGAAGTTTGTTTGGAACGCTGCACATTAAATTTACTTTATTTATAATTAAAATATATGAGATTATAATATCTGGATCAAGAAAATCAGAATAGCATCTCTATAGATGGACATAAAAATGATTGACAATATAGGATTTCTATGACAACTGACACACGGGTTTACATGATTTATTGTTTTTTTATATAAATTGTTAGCTTGTTATTAATGTAGTTCGTATTGAATTTGAATATCATTTTATTTGTTGAATATTTTTAAATTTTGTTGGAAAATATTTTTAATTAATCCTATATTTTTTGAAATCGTATTTCTGAAATTTCAGTAAGTTTCCGATAATAGAATAATAATTTCAACCTTAATTGTTTAAATGGTATGCCTTATAGCTTTCTTAATCGCATCCAAACTATACAATGGCGTGGTATTTAATTAAAACGTATTTGGAATTATTTGCAAAAATTGCAGGCAAGAATGAATGCAAGAACGGAAGGATTAACGGACATAACTAAATTAATTCAAAATGCAATGCTGATCAAGAATATGTATATGTATATTTTTTGGAATTTAGAATAATTTGGAATTTTTATATTTTAAACTAAAAATATACCAAATTCTTCCACATACATTTACACATAGCTATATATACTGTTGAATTTTAAATAAAATTTTAAAATAAAAAATGTTAACCCAACCATGTGAAATGATTTTTAAAAGCCCACTCTGTCCCAAACCGAAATAATGTATACACATATACATATACGTGAGCTATACCTTGCTATATATTCAATTTGAATTTTTTTCAAAGATATATGGAAAGAAATTTATCAAAATATGCTGACCAATAATAGCCTTGCCAAAAAAAATATAGAAAAATAAATTCAAATGAATCAAAGTAACAAAATATGCCACCGATTTCCCTTTGATACTTTATTATTCCATTCTATATTTCATATGTATATAGTATGTATGTAGTGGCATTAAGTAGTTTTTCTATTATAAAGTTAAAAACACAATACGTATATTACCGTATCATAAAAATTGAGATGACAAACAAAACCAACACCATATACAGAATCCTTTTTATAAATGGGATGTAATTTCGAAAAAAAACAAAAAAATTCCTGGAAAATATTATAAGCATTTGAAAAACAAAATAAGATAGATGAAAAAAAATCTTATGAGTCATCAGTAATGAAAATTTTCTTCTGTTTCTTGGTTTTTTGATTTTCTCGTATAAGTTTTGAAGGAAAATTTTTGTAATTTTAAGAAAAAGGATGATAAAATTTCAGATTTTTTTTTTTATTTAATTAATAATTACAAAGAATCACGTCGTAGGAAAATTTTCAAAATCTTTTATAAGATTTTTAGTCATCAAATTGAAAATTGAATAATTTTTTTTTATATACCGGCATAAAAATTTTTGCAAAATTTAGTCATGATAGTTTCAGTAATCAATATGACTCTGCCTTTTTGTTATAAAGAAATATAGGAGTAATAGAATAATAATTATGAATTTTATGGAATTGAATCTACTTTAAACCTAAAATAAACTTGGAATTAATATATGAATTTAGTTTACAAAAAAAAAATGGGTCGAAAACTTCCACACAAATTTGGTTTTGCTCAAATTAACCAAAAATCTTACACCTAGTATACACGTACCATATCCTTTTTTGTGACTTAATGCTTCGCAAGTTTGACTTATATTGTAAGCACATTTATATTAGCTTCCTTTTAAGGCAAATAATTGTAAAATAACAGTTTAGACCTGAATTCATTTACATTACTCCTACGAATACCTACATCTACAAGAAATAACATCTACATGGATGATGAGCAACCACTGTGCATAAATTGAGTACGTGTAGAATGCATGTACTGTAGTAAGAGTATGTGAACGATTACTTGTTCACTTACTAAGAGATTTTGATGGCCTTCTCTATTTTGTATCAAAAAAAAAATCCACGAGCATTTGTACACATCAAATTTTCATAAAAATTTTATCAGATCGAACAAAATTCATAATTAATATGTTTGATAATATGTAAACAGAGCATAATGTCTGTTGCTGTTTTACGAACAAGAGTACCGATTATATGTAGTGCTTTTCCAAATTCTTAAAGAATTAAAATTATAAATTATTTTTCCTTATAACTTCAAAAAATATAAAAATTTCCGGTCATCTTTTTCTAATGCCCTTGTATTATTTTGTTATATTAAACTGCTTATATACCAAAAACGATCCTTACGTTTTCAAAATTAAATTTTAGAAATTGAATTTTTTAATTTAAAACCTTAATAGGAATGATATTTAATATTATTAATGAGAAAACATATGTCAGATAACAAACTATAAAAAAATAAAAATTTTGAAGTGACTCAAAAATAAGGTTCGTCACGTGTCAAATATTGAAAATTTTTTCTAATACATGTTAAACGTATAATCATATGAACCTATTACAACTATTATATATTTAAATTTTTACATTTTATGGAGTTACTTGCACTTATTACACACACTTACACAATACAAATGTATTTGAGTGTAAATTGAAAATTATATTCTTATCATGCATCTGAATTAATCCCCAATTCATAAAACATATATAAATGGTTACTTTAAAATCCTCTTGACACACAAATGTAATGCATTAATTAGGGCGAGGGAAAAATTACACTCTTTTAATAATTTCAATATAAAAAAAAACAGAAACCAACTTTCTTTTCAAAATTGTTTGCATTCTGTATAGCGTTTGTACATGTTAAGTACCGCAGAATTTCTTCATTTTTTTTACACACGATGTAAAATTTAAGTAATTTAATGTACTAGAGAAAAAAAAAACAGGGAAAACGGTTCAGTTTTTCACACAACCAACCAACACTCCTTTAGTTATATAGATTAAACAATTAAGACATATGAGATATCACTGTCTTTCATTCTAGCATTTTAAGAGAATATTTGTATTTTACATTTATCTTATGTAATTGAATTGCGTTGGAGTTACAAAGAGAAAATATTAACCCAAATTTCATATTTCATAATATTTGGGTTAATATTTTCTATATTTGGAAATCCTTTAATATATCCTTTGCGTATTCTTAAATTTAATTGAAATCTGTTGTAATTTTTAAATTACTTTTCAAAGAAATTGTTAATAAATTAAGCATTGCAATTTCAATGAAAATATTTAGTGGATTTGAAAGAACAAAGTCTGTGCTAATTATAATTGAACACATGCATAAAAATTAGCATCTCCTTTGTAATTAAAAATTCGAAAGAAAAATCGTTTTTAAATCTCTGTAATCTTTTATATAAAAATTAAAATATTCTTTATATAAAACTTGATTAAAGACTTAAAAAGTGAAGAAAAAAGTCTTTAAATTTTTGATAGCATTGCGCTCTATTTTTACTTGTTTTCACCGGTTCCATTTCTTTATTCAATTTGGAATAATTTCAAATTATTTCATTATGAAGCTTAAATTAATTAATATTGTTTCCTTTATACAAAGCTATTCTATTATCTCCTAAAGTTGCTTATGCACAAAATTAATTTTTATCAGAATTAAAAATTAACCAAATCAACTCTTTTGATTTCTTAAGCACTATAAATATTAGATTTAAATCAAAAATTTTGAAATTATTTTTGATTTGTCAAACATGCTTCAATTTTAAAATTTATAATTTTTTTTTTTAATATCATTTCATTTATTATTTTTTTATTACAGGCTTTGAAATTTTCTTTCCACAAGAATTAGTTAAATTAACAATACCAAAGACTGAAAGAGCATTTAAATCATTAACAAAAGTTCCAATAGGAAAATTTCAAGTAATATCCTTAAATCGTAATAATCCTGCTAGCGAATATTTATATAAATTTGAAGAACCAATTGAAACACAACAATATTTACGTATTGACAATAAAACTGGTGAAGTATATTTGGGTAATAATTTTTATAATTTATATTCAAATTATAATAATCAAAAGGATGAAGAGAAAATTCAACAATTTACAATAACAGCATATAATCCAAAACATGATACATTTCATATGGCTCATATGACATTACAAATTGAATTATATACAGAAACAAAAGATTTTTGTGCACATCAATTGAATAAAATATGTTTTTGGGATAATATAACATATTCGATAGCAGAGAATTCTAAATCAAATCCTATTATAATTGGTGAAATTGGTTCATTCGGATTACAATATATTTGTTCACAAGATCGTATCACATATTCATTGAATAATAAAAATCAATTTATTGAATTAGATGGTAGAAATATTATAGCAAAAATAAAATTGGATCATGATAGTCATAATCCTGGACATTCAATTGATTTATTAATAAAATGTTCAATAAAGACAAGTATGAATAGTGTACCACAAGATTTTGAAAAAAATATTAAAATTAATGTATTGGATCGTAATGATAATGGTGTATGGTTTCAAGAAAATAAAACTTATTATAGTTTTACGATACCGAATCCGCATTTTAATGAGGTAAGTCAAATATTTAAAAAATAAATTTTTGAATTAACTTATTAATAAAATTATAACACAAACAAAAAAAATCCCATATACTAGGCTTGCTTAGGTGAGGTTGCGCGGCCCTACGAAGGGTACTCTTAAACCACCTAGGTCAGTTGTGGTGCCGCCAGATCTCTTCCCTTTCCCCAAGATCCTACAAAGCCAACAAACTAAGGAAGAAGGCAATGCAAATTCCAATAATTATACTTAACAAAGTTTACCCGTCACGCATTACCGGGAGCCGTGAACAAAAAAGTAATCAATCTTATTTACTTATTCTAGTACTTGTACAAACTTTTCGAACATGATTATACCACACACATGAATATACTACAATTTTGTTTACATTTAAGATTTACTACCTAAAAGCCTCTCCAGTGATCGCGAAGTACGCTCTCATGATTTTCTTCAAAAAGTACTAAATTTCTGTTAAACATCAGTTACACAATATCTTTATTCTCCGTATAATTATACTTGACGTTTTGTTTTCGAATCCTTTTTTCAAAACTTGGGGCCTCGTGAGACCAATTTTCAAAAATCTTTTTCGAGCAAAAGGTTTAGACCTCGTTCACATCTTTCATACAAAATTTCATATGATCACATTTTACGATTTTCAATATTAAGAAATCATCTCGTGAATTATTCCAAATAACTTCCCAAACAACTTCAAGTTTTATGGTAATGGAATGAGCGGTTTATTAGTGAGGAGCGGTCAAACAAAATTTTGATTTCATTTATTGTCTATTCTAACTATATATATGTAGATAGAATAGATTAAAATCAAATCAAAATATTAAAAATTTCCTTGTATCCTCCCCGTTTCATTTTCAAGTTAAAATTTTCAATAATCATGCCGTATAAAAATCCTTTACGAATACTTATGGTATCATGAACTTTATATTTTGATTAATTGTCAAAGTAAAGTGAACAAATTTTACTGTATTGTAGGGAAAAGTTAAAAATTTTCCCGGAAAAAGCAACTTAATTAAAACATTTTTTTTATTATGAAAAAAAAAATTATCAGTTAAAATGTTTGGCATGTTTGGTAGCCATTAAGAAAATTATATAAAGTGCTCACACCATAACATAATATTAGAAAAATGCATTTCAGAAGTGAAGTATTCTATATAAAATTTCATTTCTTATAAAAGTACATATAATATTATATGAAGTATAGAGAACTTAGTAGAGTAGAGCAGTAAAAACAGGATCCTTCATAAAGTTTTTAATAAATTTGTGAATACTTGAAAATAAATTATAATGTTCATTTCATCACTTGTGCTAAGTTAAATTCGCGTGTAAGTAGTGAATCACTAACTTGGGAATCAAATTTGATATTGGTTAGAATACGAGCTTCTATTCAAAATAACTTAAACAAGGCTTTTAAATCAATCAATTCGCAAGTTTCAAAGAATGTAGTTTATAAAGAATTCATTTCAAAATTCATTTTCATATGTAAATGTTGACATTGCCACATTTAATCGCAAAAGGTTGTCTAGCACTGATGTAGACAAAAAACTTTTTTTATACACACATTCTAAAAATGTTTTCTTCTTTTTATGATTTATCCAATGTTTTTCATACATTTTCCTTTACAAATGACTGGAAATGGCCGCAGACAAAAAAAAAGTGCGTTCAGACAAAAGAAAAAATAAAAAAAAAATTTAGTAATTTCCATTTTTTTTATTTATATTTAAATATTGTGTGTATGTATTTGTAGATTTCCCTTGACATAGACTATACACGAAATAAATTTTGGGTCAAATTAAAGCTTTATAAAGCAGCACATTTCCTTCATTGAATTGAAATTTTATTGAAATTTTCGTAATAAATTGCAATATTGCATTTCTTCAGGATCAATACAAAAATTGAAAGAGGTACTTGCTAATAGCACCATATCTACTTGATAGTATAATTTTTAAGAATTTTTAAATAAAGGCGTTTATTGTAACCTTTCCTTTTTTTGGTATTATATAAAGCTTATCGAAAAATATTCAGAATATGAGTAAAAACTTTAAAGCTACGGCAATAAGTTCCTCACTAAAACACAATATTGAGCTTGCGAACTAGGCATTGTATGTATATTAGAGAGTAAATCTGTAAGAAATTTATAAACAGACGTTGCAACGGAAATACAGGCAGACAGATGGGCAAAGTTAAATTTATAAACCAATTCTCAATTGGAAGTAGACAAAATTAAATTCCATCAAATAATTTTTTTTTCTTGTGCATATCCTTGAAGAAAAGACTTAAAAGGATATTAGGAATTAGTTAACATACCAATATTATTTTTTATTTCTATATAATGCATAAAAAGAATGTATATGTACGTATAATAACCGTCTATATATGAAAACTTTTTTCAAAAGGTGAAATTCCTTCTTACATATCCTTATATCCTTACATGACGTTTCATAGTTCATAATCTTTTATAATATTGTGAATAAAATTTATTTTTATTTTTTTTTGAAAATACCCATTGCATGTAAAAGTTTAATAATGGTTTTTCTTATTTTGCTTCCAAATACAAACATGCAGAGAAGATCGTCTAAATAGAAAATTGTCTTTTTATTTTTAACTTAATAAAAAAAAGAACATTGGAAAAAAAATATTATTTTGTAAGGATTGGCAAAGAAATTTTCCTTTATATCACAGATACATATCATAAGTATGTATGTATATATATATATAATAGGTAAAGAAATATAGGGGTGTTAGAGTGTGAGATTATTTTATGTCGTTACGGTAGCAGTTAAATAATAAATTTTTCTATCTTATAAGTTATTTTATGTGCTAATCAATCAAGACAAGTAATTTTAATCATAAATTATAATAATGTTTAAATGTATTAAAAAATTGGCTACATAAAATATACTTGTTTTGATTTTATTGCAGTCCAAAACAAAAACAAAATTTTATATTTAAATGTAATAGAATTTATCAATAGAATAAGAGCTCAAATGATGAATGAGCTTATTTCACATCTTATCTTCAGTATAATTTTTTGTAACGCTACTTATCACAGCCGTCTAAAAGTTTCTTGGATTGCCAGAACCATGTACTTTTTATTTGAAAAGAAGATGATTAATTGTTCATTATTTACTCTTTATGTTTGACATTTGACATATTCTACATTTCCTACAGTCATACCTACAATAAACATTTCCTGAATAAACTGACATAAATCCAAAACTATTAGTTTCTATATCCGTACGAACATATATATAAATGTTTGAACGTATATATAAATTTTCCACTTTTTTTTTGTAACGCTAAGAAATAACGGGCTGAGACATGGTCATATTTTTGTTCAGCGTCGAATTTTCAGTCGTCCGTCTATCTGTTCACAGCGATTACTCAAAAATTAAGTTATTTAAGTTAATCAGATTTTCACAAATGAGTTGTAGTAAATATATAATAAATACTAGATCTTATTGGAATTCAGTGTGATCCACACAGTGGTTCGGGTAGCTGCCATACAATTTCCAAAGATATTTGATAATATAAGAAAAAATTATTTAAGCTACACTACTAAAAATTTGCAAAGCGAATATAGTAATAGGGTTATTTTTTTCGATAAAAGCTGTAGCAATTATGATATAAATCTTCAAATCATTCATTCGTGCGAGTATAACCATAGAGTTGATACAAAATGAAATGTATATACATCAAAACATTATTTTACATACACTAAATTTAGTAACAAAAATTTTTATTATCACCTCCTCATTTTTTTCCCTAAAAAAACGTAACAAATTTCGATTAATTCAATAATTTATGTGCCTACATTTAATGTTCTGTACACATTTTATAAATAAACTAATATTAACCTACATATTTATGTAAAGAAAAATTATTATAATTGGGTTTTATTTTGTAAATAAAAAAAATCATAATTTTAATGTAAAATGAAAATTTTTTTCTATTTTATTCTGTTACTGAAAGTAAAACTTTTAACTACATGAAAAAAAAATTGTACAAAATTCCAAACAAAAACTGCACCTCTTTAATAAAGAAATCATCCTTTATCCTTTACATGATATAAAAAAAATGTTATAAGAGTAAAACGGGTCGAAAAACATGAACACAATTTCTTTTAGTTCAATACACGCCATTTTAAATTTTATTGTTTTTTTTTTTGTGTAAACACCTCAAATGTAGGTTCATTAACACTTGAATTCCAATATATTTTTGCTTAATATGATATTATGTGACTTTTCAAAATCATAAAAAAAAATTGAGGCTAATTATGAGACATGAAATTTTTCTATCGCTTTAAGATTAGACATATAAGGCATATAGGAAAAGCTGCAAAATGCGAACTATACTTAATGCACTTTCAAAGTTTATAAGAAAAATAATTAGAAAAAACATTTTTATTCCACCGATAGTGTTCCCAAAGCAAATGTGTCAAATGGATTCTGACAACCAGAAACCAACAAGCGACATTTTCCTCCCTTCTCTTATTTTCGAGTAATCAATCCACAATATTGGCCTTCTCGGAAAAATGTACTACCAGTTTGATAAATTCATTTTAAAACAGATGATATTTTTTTTGCTATTAAGATACGAGGATTAATTTCAGTTATGATAAGAATTGCATTAGTTTCTATGAACTAAGTTGAACAATTAGATATATAGACAAGTAATAAACAGCACGGGTTTACATATGTGTAAAAATGTATATATGTAAAAGAATTGTTCGCTAATTACGTATCCCTATTGGCAAAGTAATCGAATCAATTTCGAAATCTTGAACAATTATTATAAATTTTCATTTGTGATCACTACAAGCTTGAATTTATAGAAAGAACAAAAACAAATTTTTTCATAAAAATTTATAAGTACTTGCCAACAGTTTTGTAATTGATTTTTGTCGTAGATTTTGCAAATATCTGATATAACAAATATATATTTGTTATATCTTGCTAATGTTTGTGGTATAATTGTGGTATTCACAATTATACGACAAATATTGGCATGATATAGTAAATATGGAGTAAGTAAAACAGATATGAACGTCAACGAATTTCATATAAATGTAACCAGGTCTGGGTCTAGCTTGCTTTACGCCTCTTTTTCTTAACAAGTATAGTATACGTAAAACAGATATAAACGTCAATGGAATTTTAAATAGATGAACCATGTCCGAGTCAAGCTTGTTTTGCGCCTCACGCATTTTCCGGATAGTGCACCCTGCTAACATGGAATCAGAAACAAGTCATTTCTGTTTCTGCTTTTTAAAAAAAAGGTGCAGATCGCTGTTTTATGCGTTCACGGAAAAAGCACTTATTATTATTTATACATATAAATCCAGCCCTGTTTGTACCTAAATTCATAACTTATAAGTTTTTTGCCAAAAAAAATAAATAAATATAGGCAAAAATAAATTCTTTCACTCGCCTTTACTGTAATAATTCTCAATACATAAACATGTTTCTTAACTTTATTTACAAATTACTTCTGTACTTATGTTTTAACAACATAAAATGCACATATTAAATTTGTTATGTAACACTTATTAAACATAGCTATTTGTTTTTTTTTTTTAATAAAAATTATTAACTTTAAGGAGCATAAGCAATTTATTAGCATGAGAAATTGCTATTAAATTGTACTTACATGGTATTTTGTAATCCAGAATGAAATTAAATGAAATTAAAATGGATAAAATAAATAAAAGAAATGGAAAAAAAAATATAAGAACATGATCATAAACTAAATAAAATAAGTTGGGAAAGGAATGTCCTTGGGGATTAAATATAAAATTTGCATATATACAAATGTATATTCACATAATTTTTTTTATTTTATACAAACATTTCTACTATAGCATTTATTACAATAAAAGGTTAATTAAATTAACCTAGTATATGTAAAATGTTTTATTTATTTATAAGCTTGTTCATATTTATTTAACATACTCTATAAAGCAACATTATTATTTGGTATATAAATTACTGATTAAGGTCATAAAAGTTGTGTTTTGAACACACTAATTTCTCTTCTTTTTTTCTATTTAAAAGTGTTAGAAGTAAACGCATTTATTAAATTACAAATTAAATAATTATTGTGACAACACATAAAACATATAAGGGATGATGTAATATGCTAACACATACTTTATACCGAGGACATTTCAATGGAATTTAAAGTTTTAATGAAAATTAGAATTTTCTTTAATGTAAAAAAATAGTTTCCAAGAGAATAAAAAATATTAAGGTCCAAGAGAATAAAAAATATTAAGTGATCTTCGTGTATATTAAGTGATCTTCGAACTCTTACCCATTCCAAAGCACGATTTGAAAGTTGCTCCTTTATTGAATAAATGTTATTTTCATTTTTTCAAAGTGATTCCGAAGGAAAATTATAAATAAAACAAATAGTAAGAAGTCATTTTAAAATTCACGTATAGTCGAAATTCAGGACCTTTCAATTTTCTTAATTTTGCTAGAGGAATTCTATCGAATGTTGACAGCTCTGTATATATATATATTAGTACTAATTTTGTATAACATTCAGTATCCTAATATAGTTAATTTTTAATACAAAAAAATCTAATAATTTTCCCCTATATAGGATGAAATAATTGGCGATCTTCCCATAATAATTAGAGATAACGATTCTCTACAAGTCAACAGCAAAATAATTTATGAAATTCATAATGAAACTTCTCATATAATAAAACCATACTGTAATCCATATGAAGCTGATCATACAGGAGTAAAGAGTACAGCTATTAGCTGCCGTAAGTTTAATTTTTTTTTAAATTAATTTTATTATGACATTAATAAATTTCTAATTACCTCACTATATAGAATTTAAATTTATAAGACGTGGATCACTTCGAGATTCACCACATTGTTTTATATTTGAAGCTCGTGATATGTCTTTGGATACAGAAAATACCAAAGATAAACGTTCAATAAATGCAACAATCTGTATTAGCAGTAATATGGAAAAAATTATTGATTTACCAGGTCCAAAAGCATTAGCAATGACATCAAGAAATCATGGAAATATAAATACAAGAAGAAATCGTAAATTATTACGTAATACCGATGAACAATCTATTAATGATGATACAAATGATAATACAAATGGTATTACAACAACAATGAGAACATTTATACGTGTTGAATATCCAAAAGATATTTATGTCTATCGAACATCAATGAATTTAACAAGAGTAACACAACCAAGCAATATGAAACAATTATATAAAAGACCGGATCATAAATTTAGTTTAATTGATGATCCAACAAATGCATTTGCTATTACAAAATTTGGTGGAATTTTGTATGTACATAATACAACAGCTTTAATGACAGCAATCGAACATATTTATTAGTAAGTAATTTTACACTATAGCAAGGACATTTGAAATTCAAATATAATTTTACGTTTTTATTTTTGTTTTTTTCTTAAAGCATTAAAATTGGTTGGTTAAATGAAACCAAAGTTCTTTTTATACATTTAGAATATGGTAGGCCAGAGAATACAAGTTGTGCATACGAACCTGAATCTAGAGTAACACAAACATGTTCACAAGTGAAAACAAGAAAAAATTGTATAAAATTTTGTGGTTTGGGTACTGGTGGTGGATCATGTGAATATAGAGGACTACCAAATTCAACATTTAGTACAAATTTTGCAACATGTACACCGAATGCAACCTATTGTCCTGACAATATATGTGATCCATTAGAACAAATTGATATATATTTGTGTCCGCAAGATTGTATGCCAGCAACAAAAATTTTTGGTCCACATACAAATAATAAAAATAAATTAGGAATTTATTCAGCATCAGGTGCTTGTATTTGCGATGAAGGTGGTAGCTGTAATTGTGGTTCATTTGGTTTAGAAGATAAACCGAAGAATTCGGGAAAGAAAAAAGAAAGAAATAAAATACAACCAAGTCAAAATGTAACAGAAGGTAAAATCAAAAATATTTTCTATTTCAATTTTACTGTCAGGTCCTAAGCATTAATAACATCTCCTTAGTTCAATGTACATGAAATTTTATCGCCAAAAATTTAATGTATAAAAGTCATTGTTCATTTCTAATCGCTGTTATCACTAATTCTTATATATATGTATATGCACACATGTACATTGTATACATCTTATCGTATATAAATATTTTGAATTTCTTCTATTTATAAAATTCTTCCAGCTCCTTATCTAATTGTTTACTCAAATAATTACTTTGTATAAATAGAATAAAAAGAAATATAAAAAAAAATTATAATATTTTCCATTTGATTATGTTTAATAGCAACAACAAGGCCATTATTATCTGGCGCTACCATTGAATGTGGACCATCTTGTATGATTCTTGCAGTTGGATGCCCCTTAATACTGATAATTATTGTAATTTGTTTAATTATATCGCGACGCAAATACATAAAACAAGCAAAACGAAAAGTATTAAGTGAAAAAGGTGATGGAGAAAATCGTACGGTTGATTTACCGTTAGTACCCTTTGAAAATGACATGAAATTGGATATAACGGTAAGTAAATATTTTTTAATTTTAAATAACTTTAAATTTTCTTATATTCCCATTTGCAATTCCATATAGTCCGATTCAAAATGGGAATTTAAACGTGATTTACTCGTATTTGATACTCTACTTGGTGAAGGTGAATTTGGTAAAGTCTTAAGAGGATATGCAACAGATATAGCTGGTAAAACTGGTATTACTACAGTTGCTGTGAAAATGTTAAAAACTGGTGCAAATTCAGCAGAATATTTAGCACTTTTATCAGAATTTCAATTATTACAAGAATGTTCACATCCAAATGTTATAAAACTTTTGGGTGCATGTACTAAAGGAGAATCACCATTATTAATTATCGAATATGCAAAATATGGTTCATTAAGAAGTTATTTGAGATTAAGTCGAAAAATTGAATGTTCTGGTGTTGAATTTACGGATGGTGTTGAACCAGTAACTGTTAAAGATATTTTATCATTTGCATGGCAAATATGCAAAGGGATGGCCTATTTAACAGAAATTAAAGTAAGCAGTTTCTTTTACAGCAATTTCACAAATATATGCCAATTAAATTTTTTGTATTCTAATTCCAATTTGTTATATAGCTGGTACATAGAGATCTTGCAGCCCGAAATGTTTTATTAGCAGAGGGTAAAATATGTAAAATATCAGATTTCGGACTAACACGAGATGTTTATGAAGATGATGCATATTTGAAACGTAGTAGAGATCGAGTTCCTGTAAAGGTAAAATTAATTACATTTAATGCATTAATAAATTAAAAAATTAATTAATTTTGAATAAAAATTGAATAATTTAAAATAACTTTAAAATTCATTCACTCTTAAAAATAGTGGATGGCTCCTGAGTCATTGGCAGATCATGTATATACAACAAAATCAGATGTATGGGCATTTGGAGTGCTAGGTTGGGAGTTAATAACACTTGGTGCATCACCATATCCAGGAATACCACCACAAAATTTATATCATCTGCTAAAAAGCGGCTACCGTATGGAAAGACCAGAAAATTGTTCAGAAGACATGTAAGTTAAACTTGATTTTATTAAAGCTAAAACAAAACTTTTTTTATATTCTGAAAAATTTATTAAAAAAAAATTCTATATAGCTATGGAATTTTGAGAGCATGTTGGGGTGATGATCCAAATACACGACCTTCATTCAAATATTTAGCTTCACAATGGGAGAAGTTATTAGGTAATAATGCCAAATATTTAGAATTAGAAACAACATCAGCCGTCTCAAATCCATTATATTGTGATGATCCAACAACACAAAATCATAATACATCAACTACAATAGCAACAACAATACAAATAACCGGAAATAATAATACTGAACCGATTAATAAAGAACCAAATGAATCATTAATTAAAAATGATCTTGGTGAACCAGATTGTTTAGATCATTTATGGAAACCACCAAAAGTCAGTTATGAAATTAATGATAATAATTCAAATGAAGAGAATAATACATTAAGTACATGTTTAAGTAATGATGTATCAAATTCAATACAATTAGGCTATGATATACCGAGACCTTTAATTGAATCAAAAACAACAGAACAAGCTTTACGTTACGAAAATGATTTACGTTTTCCATTAAATATTAAAATTTGTAATGGACGTATTAGTCAACATATTTCATCTGTACCACCAAATCATTATTCAGTTCCAGTTAAACGTGGACGTTCCTATATGGATATGACAAATAAAACTCTAATACCAGATAATTTAAATATTGATGATTTTGAAAAGAAAATGTCTAAGAATATAACATTTCGTTTCTCCAGTTTATTAAATTTAAATGAACAGGACACAACAGTAGTTTAGAATTAATTAGAGATTAGGGCATTTATTTTAAAAGGAAAATTGAGGTTTTCTTTGTAAAAATCAAAATTTTATTTTCTGTTTCTCTTTTTTGACAAGGTTATTTTTATTAAATATGTATAGTGTGAAGGACCAAAAAAAAATGTTAATTTAGAGAAAGTAAAAATTTAATGAGATTAAGTACTTAAATGTAAAAAATCTTATATACAAAATTATTGTGAATTTTATGTTTAATAAGACAATGTTGGGTGCAGTTATTATACTTGGCGTTTATCTAAATGTGTGTTCAACGGCTAATGTTAAATAGACTCTGTAATTTAGAGTCCAATGAATCTATCAATTTCGATGGAAATAAATTTAAATTTTACAATTTTTCGGAAAATATTTTTTTGCAAATGAATTTTTAATTGAACTTTGTTAATATTTGATGCTTAGTTAAACTAGGAGTAAATATATTAATTATTATTTACTTAAAGTGTTCTACTTCCAATAGAACTGAAGGAATACTAGGGAATTACAGCTGTTTGATTCACTTTCGTACTCGTATAACAATAGTTTAATACGCCTTTTTAACTTATTTAAAAAAATGTGCGACTCAAACAGCGCGTACATAATTCAAAGTGGAGTTTTCCCTCCAGGAGAAGTTTCTTTTTAAAGAACTGTTTGTTGAAAAATAAAATTCATTTGTTCTTTTAAATAAAAAGTATAATTATTTTTATTTTAATTATTCTATTTCTATTATTCTCGTTTTATCCTCGTTTCTTTTCAATATTTTAATTTAGATACGATTTTTTATAACTATAAGATGCTGACTGTTACTTTTTAAGTATGTATTATATTTTTATTTGTTAAAATATTTTATAATAACAAATATTGTAAAATATTTTATTATTTTTAAGTTTGTGATTTATTATTATAATTCTCTTAGTTACTTAAGTTCCTAAATTTATATTAATTGAATATGCAAAATTGTCTATAATAAGCTTATTGTTAAAATTTTATTCAAACATTTTCTGCCTAAAAATATAAACAATTTTTTTTTTTAATATTAATATCTAATTTATTCAATTTAAATTCTTATTTAAATAAAAAATAAAATATATATTGAAGAATATTTTAAAAAGATTGCATAAGTTTTCATAATAGAGAGCTAGGTACAAGGAAAAGAATACAAAATATTCGGTATAGAGTGAATTTGTGTGCGAGTTGAATATATCTACAAGTAATTTCCATGTAGATACCAAAATTGATTAGTATTTCAACAGAAAAATACAAAATCAAGTCAAGCTATCAGTGTCCATGCTTCGCAGAAAGCTCATTTTCCATGGTTATTCGAACCAAAGTAAATAATTATTTAAAAAATGAGTAATTACAAAATTTTATTTCAAAACTATATAGATAATAAAGAATCATAATTTTCCAAATAATTCAAAATTAATTAATTACGTTTTCAAAATTCAAAATTGATTAATACGATTCACAATAGAAATTTCAAAATAATTTTTTTTCAACGCAATTTTGAATAATCAAATACACATAACCTTATTTTTATATTTTATGGCTAAAAAAGTTAAAATTAAAATATTTTTGTATACTAAAATATTTTATATAAGCAATTTTTTTTAATTTTTCAAACTAGTCAATACTAAGGCATTTATTATATAAAAAAATGAAAATCTATTAGATATACTATATGGTACATAAATTATCTTATTTATTATGCTTATTACATAATTTGTGTAAGTGGGTATAAATTATGTACGGGACTGATTTCTTCTAAGCTAAATACATAAATATTATATATTTTTTAAGTAAAATGTAATTTTTTTTATTCTTATATTTTAGTATATAATTTTAAGTAGTTTTTTCTTTATATATACATAATGTAACAATTAAAATTTTAATTATAAATTTAAAAACAAAATTTTCTAAACGCTTCCATTTTAAATGTAAAATGCATCAAAGCCGAACTTTTTGAAGATTTTAAATTAGTTTTCCCTTGTGCTTCATTACGAAAATTTTAACAATTTTTTCTATATTTTTGAAGTAAAAGCATGTTTTTTTGAGTCAAAAATTTAGGGAACCGAAAATATTTTTCTAAAATCAAATGTTATTTATATTCCAGTAGATTCGTACTTATGTTAACTAGTTAATGATAGTAAGGAGTTCAGATAATCGAACCGTTAATATAAGTGGAAGGGATATTAAAGAGTACTACATTTGATTGACCATTATATTTTTTACATTATTTGGTACAATATGTACATTGAATATTGTATGCCAAAATTTGTATTGTATTCATACAAATAGTAGTTAGTTGATATAATAGAATATATATAACACCAAAAATTTTGTGTTCACATAGCTAACATTAATATAATTGCGAGTCTACCGTATATCAAAGTTTAATTACAATTTTTCCAGTTTTCCACTAATATAACATTTTCATAGAACTTTATTAAAATTTTCATGTTTATATTTTGAGAAATGTTAGAACTATTACCTTTACTATTTGCTATTACTATTAGCTTTGCAGTAGAAAACTGCAAGAAACAATTTTTTTTATAGAACTGAAAAGAGAGAATAACGTAATAAGTGCCAATTTTAGTTTCATATTACATAGACGATTTAAAACCTAAATTATTTGCAATAAAAAAAAGTGAATAAAATTATACAGTCTAATTGATTATATATGTACATTTAAAATGATAATGTTTAAAATTTTAATAAAGTTCTAAAACGAGAGTTAAAATCGTGAGAATATTTAACAATTAATACAAAAACAAAGATATTGGCATAAATAATGAAAAATAATTATTTTATTTGTTATCTTTTGAATTTGAAAATTAATATTATTTAATTTTATTAGTTCTGTAGCAAAATTTTAATTGATCAAATTGATAATTACCAAAATCTACTAAAAACGGTATAGTTACATATATGTATGTTGGCAAGGTTTTAAATATTATGGTTATGACACATATGACATGAAAGATAATTAACTAGTATATAAATACTTTAAATCTGACTATTTCATTCATATAATTTAAGATGGTCTTCAAGGGATTATGTAATATGTATAACAATATATAAGTATATCTCTTATAATAAAAATTGTGACTCTCGTGATAGGAAGCTAATTATTTTATTATTTTTTTTTTCCTGTAAATATTTAATAAATAAATTCGCTTAAACCAAAAAAACAAACATAAACAAAATTAAAAATACAAATTATAAACAGAAATTATAATTAATGTACTTAAATTTTTAAGAGAAATGCAAAATTTTAGAAATTGAAACTCTTAAGTTTTGATTGTATTAAAAACAAAAAAAAAAACTATATAAAATTAATAATATATTTTTCAAAATAATTTTAAAACTAAATTTTTTTAAGAAAATAAAATAGCATACTAAAATTATTAAAAAAGCAAAATAGAATAGAATTTGTGGTCAAATACAATAAATTACTTTAATATTACTATATAACAATCATTATTTTATAATATTATACAATCGTAAATGTGTTATACGATCAATAATTGAAAATATAAATGCAAAATTTGAAAGTATTCCGATTTCCCATATATATGAGTATAAAGTGTCTAAAATTGAATTATAAATGTGTTTTATAGTATAAATATTAGAAATTTATAAATTAATTGCAATTGAATAATTTTAAACTAATTTATTATTGTATTTATTATATGTATCGTATCAAAGTGCACTGCTACACACCATTGTACAGATAAGCCCTCATGAGTAAACAAAACTTTTGTATGAAGACCATGTTCACAGTACAACAGCTTCGGAGTTACAGGGGTTTATAATTTTAAGTATAACTCCGTGCCTATGTAAGCCAGTTGCATTATCAATAGCTGCATCAATGACAGACTCCATATGATACTCCCCGGACCGTCTTTACTCATGAGGGCCTACACAATGGTATATAGCAGTGGACTTCATGAAAGCATGTTTATGATCCTTAAAATTTATTTCAATGATTTTCTTTTAAACAAGTGCAATCGTATAACTCAAAATTACATTCCAAAAAATAAAATTTAATTTAATTTTTAAATTAAATTAAATTTAATTAAAAAAAAAACTTAAAATTCTAATATTAAACTCATATTGTGTACATACATTAAATTTAATTAAATAATAATATTCAAAAACTATATTATATTTTTTAAAAATTAACCCGAGAAAAATACCAAAATTTAAGAAATAAAAACAATCTATGTATGTATGTAAGTACTTTGAGATGTTGTGTATTTTAATTTTTATTACATTTATTATACCGAATCCCGAAATTTAGCCGAATATACCAAATAATTTAAATAATATTAATTGTAAAAAAAACAAAAACAAAATATTATAAATAAATTATTTAAATGTATTTTTAACTATTTTTAATTAAAAACTCTTGAGATAAAACTTAATATTTAGTAAAAAAAAAACAAACAAACAAACAAGAATTAATTATAATATTATTACTACTATGTACTATATTTATTAAGATTGAGAATAAAATTTAGCAATAAAAACAGAAAAACAAGAAAAAAAACTAAAAGAAAATGTTGCTTTGAAATAAAAATTAATGAAATTTTATTTTTGTTAATAATCTTGTATTAGAACCGGTTCGATTGGAACTCTTCTAGATGTACATGCATGGAAGATGGTAAAGCGATTGCCACGCGACTCGAAATTTTCGCACCAGTTAATTTAATTAAATTCAAAATTAAAATTCCAAGTGACCGGCCAATTTCATGAAATTCATGTCATGCATGTATGTATGTAACATAAACTATATAAACAATACTCGAAATATTTTACATATTATATCATATCGTATTATTAAAAAATTGTCGCCATTTTTTCACATAACGAATATTTTTCACATAACAGCTGTTTTCTTTTAATATCAATTTTAAACGTAATTTTAAGAACATATCGCATCGAACATATCTCAAAGAGAATTATTTTCGTGCGGCAACCGCACCTGTTTCGAATTTCCAGTTCCAAGGCGAAAAAACCTTTCATAATTTCAAATATAATTTTTTTCATTTGCGGTTTAATACACTTTAAGATCAGAAACAACTGACAACAATAATTTCACTTTGGGTC